TTTTGTGCTCTTGGTGTCCGTGTCTTTGTTCATACCACTCCCTTCTTTCCTTCTCTGTCACTGGACTGAGAGCTCTTCCTGTTCCTTTATTCTTTCCTCTGAGATCCAAGTGAGTCTCGATCAAAGCAGCGTTGGCTGTGTATCACCGATACATGCCACATATGGATGCCTGAAGACAACCACCATTTCACATTCATTATTTCATCATGTTTGTCTAGAAGCTAGGCTTTAGGGAAGGAAGTGCCTTCTCACGCTCCATCTGGTGGTTATACTATTTTGTTACCACAGGTGTGATTATGTAACAGCCTCAGAGGGCCTTTTCTTCCTGAATGGAGGCTACACAAACTCCCTCCTGGGATCATCAAACGGAGATTGTTTACTTACCTTTTTTTTTAAAGGCAATTAAGAGATGGGTGCGTCACAGACCCATCTTTAACTTATCTTATGGTGCATCACATGGCTGCTGGGTTTGTACACTTTGGTTGCCAACCTAGCACAAAAAAAGCATGCTGTCATCTGCAAAACGTTTTTACCAAACAATCTGATGTCACCCGTAGGTACGGCACACTATGGGGTAGTCAAATATGTGCAAGCATACTTTTCTACTAGCATAAAATGAAAGCATGGTAATTTTTGGTAGAGCTATAAAATGGTGACTCAGGCCAGCCTTTTTGGATTTTATTTCGGTGTCTCAGCAGTTCATTCTGCACATAAACAAAAGCTATTGTGTTTGAAAGCACTGCCGATTTACTGGTTTCTTCCAGGGTTTGTTATGAAAAAAGTCAAAAATAATCTGTAGCCTAAAATTCAGGCTTTCGTGGTCGTAAATTTTGTTGTCTTATAAAGTCTGGTCATAATTTTGTTTTTATCATAAACTGAGGAAACAATAAAACAAGGCTTTCTCTGTACACATTATGCCAGTAACCAGGGTAAAGAATGTAATGTAAAAACCCATCTATGCAGTCAGTATGGTAATTGCTTTTTCCAATATGGTAAGCAGTAAGCAATTACAATAGTACTATGTTTTTAGGCACCCCAACACTTTACTTTTAAACAGATACACTCATCAATATATAATATTTCAAAATCTGGAGCAAAGAAGGAGTTACACCACAGCCAGCAGCTGAAACCACTTGTTTCCAGCTGGTCAGTTCTTCATTTTATAGTCTGATTATGATCCCATCACTCAGTTCCCTCATAGGTTCAAGATGCCATTTACTCTGCATGTGCATACATTTGGGTTGCATGAATGCATCTGCTTTATATCAGATTTTTGTTGTTGTTATTGTTGTTTGTATTCCTTTATTGACTGTTAAGCTTGGTGCGTGTTGTCAATTGATTAAGGTAGTCAGCACACATCCATATGCTCCTTCTCTTCACACATGCGTGTTCATGTCCTCAGATGACCTGTTTGGTGAGCCTGACAGCAGCATTCCTCTCCGTCTCTCTCTAAGATCTTAGAAGGAGTTTTGGCTAGAGTGTGGTTTAGATTTTGTCCCATTACACACATTTCCAGCAGTTATTCATATGAGTTCAAAGAGTGCATGAACTACTCTTGCAGATTGCCATTGGGGTTAGCTCTTCTTTGTGGTATACACCATGATTTGCATGGCATAGATTTAAAAAAATGTAACTTTTGAAACTGTATTTTTTGTGGGGGATTTTCATGTGTGTTGCATCCCAAGATAGAGGAACTAAAAGCTCTGTATTCCTCAGGGGGTATCTGAGAGTCTATTCCAATGAAAAGCTCCTTTATTTTTTTTCTTATCACTCCCTTTTTTAAAGCTCATATTTTTGTTGGGTTTGTAAAAAGATATCAGAATTGTTCCAAAACAAACACCAAGTGACTTACTCTGCTAGACCTCATGTTGTAGGTCGAGTTGTTCACACACATCCAGTTACATGCGACAATGGCAGTATCTCTTCAATTACAAATTCTCATATTCTCATGTACTGGAGGGAGAGCAAATCGTGGGTCAACTCTTAAATCTTGATAACATGCAGTTAAATCACTGAGCCATTTAAAAGAAACGGTGCTTCCACAAGTATGTTAGTAGTAATAGCACTTACTCAGGAAAATGACAGATTATAGCTATATTATGATTGCTGCAGTGTGTCTTGGAACGTCATTTGTTAAGAACCTCAGACACACAGTAAAGATCACACTTGATCCTGATGTGTATTTTCTTAAATGTGTAATTTGTCTGTTTACAGAGAGCCTTACATCAAATGGACTATGAATGATGTCAGTGTTTTTGTAATCTGGCAGACTAGTGCTGAGGCTATGTTGGTGTAACCTAGCCTACGCAATTCATCACAGAAAAGCCATCTTTTTATCTCACTCTGGGACCACTTCTTCTTTATTTAACTTTCACTACACTTATGTAGTGTAGTTGTGGCTATGGTTGTCTTTTAAAAGCTACCTGCCACATCCATTTTCTGTTAGATATTTACACTCTGTGGTACTATTTGAGCTATATTTGGACCTGATACCCACATCAAAATAAAGTCAAATTTTCAGCTCAGCACTGATTTTTTTTTCTTTCTTTCTAAATAACTGTATAGCTCTTTTGGGGACTTCTAATCCATGTTTATTTCCTTTTTGTAAGGTGGTCTGGCTTGCATTATTCTGTCTCATCAGTCTGTTATGCGAGTAGACTTTATATGAGTCATATCTGGTCACAGTCTGTATAGTCTGAATAATCACTCCTAAAGTTTCAAATTACGATGTCATCTTTCATGGGGATGATGAGTCTAAATCTGGCTTTACAAGCTTTATCATGAAAGATGTTAAATAACTTCTTCTGTTGATTTATATCCTTGTCTCTTTACCAGGGACTGTTAAAGATAGTGGACAGGTTAATTTTGGAGTTTTTGCCAAATCGATCTTTTTTTAAACTCTCATATTAACACGTTTTTACTAGATAGCATGTTTTGTGAGTTCAAATCTACCTTTATGTTCTAAACAGACAATACTGCCTGTTCACAGAAACATATTGATATTCTAGTTTTGGATTCTTTGGTTTTAGAACAATGGTGGAGAGTCCCGGGTACTAAACCCCTACTGGGGCTGTCTCAATCAAGGTGTTCCTTAGAGTTGCTAAACACCTATAGACCTGAGTCATCACACGAGTCAAGTTGTGGGTTACTCCTGTCGCTGGGGCTGAGAGGTGAAACTTCTATGAAACATTGCCCCAACACGGCTGATAGCTGGTGCCATAAGCCACCACCTATGTTTAAAAATGGTAATTCACAGTGGATATAGATGGCCTCCTTTACTAGTCTCTAAAACATCTGTCTTGTCTATCTAAAATGTGGCATCCTCAAAAGAGTGTCCTTTCTCCTTTAAGTAAGGCTAAGTTTTGTTGGATTATTAATACATTTGCAGTATATACCTATACAGAACATGCTTTGCTGGCAGTCTACCGTCTATCCATCTATCATCCTTTGTATTGCTACTAGAGACTATGTCCATGCAGTGAGAAGAGAAATGTGCGGCACACATCTTAGTTTTGCACGTTTGTCTAATGCTACAGCCACATTAGGGAAAACAGTCCTGGAGACAACTGCATGACCAAAATGATTGTTACTGTGTGCAATGATTTTCTGATCTTGTTACCTTTGAAATGGTGCTTGAAATGCTTCGAACCAGGTGTGCAACCAATTGCAGTCAGTTGCCAAAGGGACTTTAGTGTGTTAAGACAGCAATAAAATATCAATAACACAGAGATGGTCTGCTTTCAGTTTGAAACTGAATGGGGTGAAGTTGGCAGTTACAACCTGATCGACTGAGTGATTAACTTTGATAAATCTGCTGCCATATGCATACTCGGAAATTCACACTAACTACTTATATTCAGAGCCCAGCATGTACTTCATAGATTTGAAACAGAAATTCCTCTTTCATGGTTATTGCAGGACAGCAATTTAACTGCTAACATATGGATTTTAACTTCTATATAGGAATGTAACCCAAATACAGTAAGGGAAGTTATTTGGAAACCTTCGCTAGGTCGTCCGAGAGTGACTGCTGTCAGTATAAGTCAGACCATTTGGATCACATGCAGCCACAAGTTGAGTGCTGCACGATCAGCCCCTTGAGCAATCACTTGGTCACTGCAGCTACTTCAAGTTGGGCACTGAATATGAAAAAATTCAATGCTATCACTGGACAACCACCAATTTAGTCACAGTGAGGCGCGTCCCATTTTTTGCATGCTAGTGTGATTGAGCCATTGTGTAGTACAGATGACTGTAGAGGGGTTTTTTTTTTGTTTGTTTTTTTGCATCTACACTATAGTATACATTTGTGCATTATGGATGCAGATGTTTTTGTTACTTCTACCATGGGAGTCTGTGCCAACT